CTCGTGCACGCCTCACCGGCCGCCGGGGCGGCCGACCGACCGACCGCGCTGCGGCGCGACGGCTGGTGGGGGCGGAGGAAGCCGCTCCGCGCCACAAGCTGCTGCACCCGTTGCGGCGGCCACGCCAAGTGATTAGCGCACTTTGCAAAGCTATGAGCACAAGTACGAACTCCGTGCCCTAGTACTGATCGAGCGCCGACGTACGCGTGCGTCGAGACCTCCGCGTTCGGGAGGCGCGGTGAATTTCTCTAGCGCAAACATTTAGGCCGTTATATCTCGCGCAGTACTACTGTACCTGCTGACGACGGACACCAGCGGTTAGTCCATAGCCCGCGAAATTCAAATTTTGGATGTGGCGCAGAGAGGCGGAGCAGGTCGTACGAATCTAGAAACTTGAAGAACGGATCCAACGGGAATCAGGAAAGCTCATTTCCATTGAACTCTTTCATTTCCTTAAGAATACCCTTTTTTCAACCAGAGAAAACACGGAGTGGATGAGGCGGAGGGGGTTGGAGGTGAACCCCAAATCGGTCAACTACAATGGATCGAGCGTCTCTCACCGCAACACAAGAATGACAATGACACCTCGTGACCTCTAAGCGATTCCTGATCGCTTTTATTACGTAATGCAATTCTCAGTTCGTGTTCCACAATCGAACAGCAGAGGCAATGAGCGCCGTGGCCCACTACAAACCAATATATATATACGCACACACAAAACTACGCTCGCGGACTCGCCCACGCTTCCGTGTCTGGCCGGATGCCGTGGCGAAACCCCGACGCCGCCAAGGCGCAGCGTCGTCACAACAGCCGGTGGCAATGGCAGCGAGAAACAATGCACGGCCAAGGCGACTTTTGAATAGGTGCTCGTCGCCCCATTCGAGGCAATGGAGAGGGATAGACCCGCCACCAGCCGCCCGCTGGGAGAAAAAAAAACAGTGCGAGCAAGATGAGGCGAGTGGGCAGCGGGGGTGGGGGCGCCCGTACAGCCTATGTTGCATGAAACACACTCTCGGAGGGGGGGGGGGTCGTGCCCGACCCGGTCGCGACGGGCCAAGTCGGGTCGGGAGTACGTTGCGACGACCTGGTGCTGCGGTAATCGGAGGTTCGTCCCGATTCAAACACCCGCACGTCAAACCGAATTTCAAATTCAATTTCGACTTGCTGCAAAACCGTTAAAACGTTCCGTATAGAATAGCCGGATCACACGATTATTTAAATTTAAATCCATCACCACGATCCAACAATGCAACCAGGTCGAAACTTTCATGAGTATTTTTTTTCGTTCTTAACCCTAGAAGTTAAGCAAAGCAAGGCAGAAGATGAGTAGCAAAAGCCTACGGCTTTAGAGTAACACGCCTAACTACAGCTGGTTGTTCCTCCCCTTCACGGAACAGTTTTAGTGTCAACGAACACTCCCATATTACTTGTAGCCGGCAGGCGTATTAAGAAGTCTACACATCACGTACATTGAAGCTGCACCTATTGCGGGTAACATTCAAAATTACAGTAGCAATGGAGAGGGCCTGTAGCCAGCAACTACGAAACAATACTTGAAATACATATTCCATCGTCTTTCGTTCATTTGCATGCATGTTCGGTATCACGTCACGTTTGATTGTTCTTTCATGGGAAAGACATCAACAATATAACAAATAAACCAGCATTAACAATGATATAACAAAAATCTATTGGCAGTCCGTACACAATACGATTACATAAAATATTACAGCAACACCTAATATTGGATTTTTTATATCAAAGGCTCCCAACAAATATTCACTAGGCTTGTCTGAAACTGCTTTGCAGATCTGTATTTGCATTCACTTCACTAATATAGATTCCACCCAATCAATTGCTGAGTGCTACACTAAAAAAAATTCTAACAACCTGACTACAACCTACGTATACAAAACACAGATTATAAATGTAGGTAAAACACAAATTATAAAATACATGCATTTAAATTAAATTAGAGAGCAGGTAGTGAATTCAAAATTTCAATTTGGCTTACCTGCCCGCCATCCTGACTTGGTGCTTTGATAATGGTTTTCATTGCCTGGGAGTTAATAGCAGATGCCACAAGATTGCTAATTGGCTTCGATGGCGTGGTTTGAACCACTTTAATGACTTGTGGGTGACCTGCAATTCAAACCCAGCCTAGTCAAATTTATGTGTATAATCTTCAAAGCTTTTGTATACAACAAATTAATAATAAAGACAGTAATAAACAATTCTCCAGAATCTAACAAAAAAATACAACTAATAATGCTAAGAAAATAAATAAAAAAATACTGTCACTTGGACAAAGATCTACATATATTTATTACATATATCTATGTAATTTTTTTGATATGAGAAGGTTGTGTATCAACTACTGAAAATGTGCTGTGGAACATTTAACACTTGCTACACTGTCACTTCACAGACATTTTTTTTCTGCCTTTCCACTCAGGAACAATATTTTTTAAAGACACCCAGCAACCTTTTCCACAACGCATTACAAGTAACACTACACAAAATCTTACTCTAACCTATGTCAGAATGCATGGCCTACATAAATCTATCTATTGAAGATAAAATGATAACACTGGGCACGACATAAACAATTTCCAAACTTATTTTACTAAAAATATTGCTCTTCACCCTTTGATCACGCTTGTCACGAACATTTCATCAGTCAACATAACTACCCAAGCAACTTTCAAAGTCGGTCCAATGTTTTCACATGAAGCACACCAGTGTGTAAGTTAGGTTCAGGGTACTCACCGTTTGCATCGTGTATCAGAAAATTCAATGTATTACTTTGTTGTGTCATTCTCGATTTCTTCACTCTATGATCGAAGCAATATATCACTCACACGTTCACGAAAAATTACTTGAATTCAATTGATCATACGACCACCGAATTGGGAAGCCTTCGTCAATTGACCAAAATGGCGACTGCTATCGTACAGCATTTCTTGCACATAAATTCGCAAAAAATGCTATTATGGAGTTCGATTTAAACCCTCCGTACGACAAATGAATATATGTACTTTCCCATGGAAAGAGCAAGGACACGTTGAATAGAAAACGCCCCCGTAATCTTCAATACAAAATACAGCAGTTTCGAGCAAATACACCTGAGATGAGCTTGGCGGCAGGCACAAAGCTTGACAGCTGATTGGTCGGGGATTATCACGTGGGTACGTCGCGTTCCTTAGTTGTGGAACTGTTTACCGGAACCGGATACGAGTCTAATTATGGGTCGATGATTGGTTGGTTCATTCCCTCGTTCCTTGATTCGTTCCTCGGTTCAATGGAAACCGGCAAAATGGTAGAAGAAATAGCGGCGACGCTACCTGATAATGTTTTAGAAGTTATTTTTTCGTATCTTGACCTTCATGATCTCAGGAACTGTTCTCTCGTGTGCAAAAACTGGTATAGGTTTTTAAATGATGAAAATAATGATGTGTGGAGGTTACACTGCATACGTAAACTCGCAGAGGAAGCTCTCAAGTCGGACTTGCTTTCATCTGTGCCAACGTACAAAGCGAAGTTACGAGCATTTTATCATGCATGGAATCCCAATGACTGTTCGAGAAATGTTTACATTAAGCCCAATGGATTTACGTTACATAGAAATCCTGTGGCGCAAAGTACAGACGCTGCGCGTGGAAAAATAGGGTTTAGGCATGGTAGACATGCTTGGGAAGTGATATGGGAAGGACCTCTTGGAACTGTTGCTGTTATAGGTATTGCCACGAAGGAAGCGCCACTTCAGTGTCATGGTTATGTTGCTCTGTTAGGTTCTGATGATCAGAGTTGGGGCTGGAATTTGGTGGATAACCATCTGCTACACAATGGTGATTCTCAAGGGAACTACCCTCTTCTGAATAATGCACCGAAATATCAGGTTTGTACATAGCTGATTCATTTTTTGTTGAGTTTTCTTCCTGAAGTATCAAAATAGAGTTGTGAATATATTAGGCAGCATCTTAAACTTATTGTATGACGAAAAATATGGTTGCAAACTATTGGCACAAACTGTCAAACATACCATGTGTAAATAGTTATAAGTCCATTACATATTAAGTGTATTACAACAATAAAAAAATGAATTTGTTTAGTAGTGTATTTCATGTCAACCTTTTCTTTGTATGTAATAATAAAGTGAAGTGTAACTGTTGATCAATTTTCTTAAGTGCATTATTTCAATTTAGAGATATTAATTTAATACTAAATAAAATTAGATTCATCCCTTATTATAACTCATGTTATGATGTAAATTACGGCATGTCTTCTAGATTATAAATGAATGTGCAAATGATATTTTTTTATATATTTGATATCATGACAATATTAAAAATTTACATATTTAGTTTAATTTTGTTTACTTTTAACATCACAGTTGTAGCATTTTTTTTTCTAGGTTGGTGAGAGAATAAGAGTTATTCTGGATTGTGATGATAATACCTTATCGTTTGAAAAAAATTATGAGTTCCTTGGAGTGGCATTCAGAGGTGTGTAAAAGTGACATGTTTGTATTAATTGTAAAAGTGACGTGTTTTTTCTATCTTTGCTTAAAATTACCATGCTTATTCTTTGCAACAGGTCTGCCTGACAAAAGACTGTACCCTTCTGTTTCTGCTGTATACGGTAATACAGAAGTTTCTATGGTGTATCTCGGACCCCCACTTGATGGGTAACGTTTAGTTGTTTCTGTGAACATACTTTACACACGGAGTGCTGTTGATCTCCACTCACCAAAGTTCGGCTGCATACGGCAACTTGTTTTCTTGAGAAACTCAGCAGTATGAGGACTCATTGTTAGTTCTGCAATCTACAGCCAAGTGACGGGTGTCATTTTTGCAACAGAGAATTTCTGCTTTTCTCTTCAGTACATATTGATGCGCTTTCATCAAATTATGGGCTGTGCTGTTGGAGATAGCTGTTGTCTTAATCGGAAGACAAAAATTGGCAGATTCTCTTCTCGTTGAAGATGAGCAGGCATATTGATTTTACATACTTATCAATGAAGATAGAATGCCTGCAAGTTTTGTTAGGAAGTTTGCAAAGGATCAATCACAATGTGTTGTGTACTGGCAGGTACAGTGCATAGATATGCTCCTGAAACATTCAAACAATTCCATTTTTCTTGCTACTTATATTACTTTTTAATTTGACCCCAGTGTTATCTGGCTGTTATGTCCAGTCTTCCTATGTATGTTTTATATACATACCATGTTGTTCAGACTCGAGATGGGTTTATTTGAGATATTTTTGACACCAACATTGCCATCCATTGAAGGGAGTGTGATCTGTGTGTAACAAATGCAAAGTTTGGCTTTGCAGTGCTTGAAAATCCTATTATCATAAGCTCTGCTGAACATGTCCTGCCACAAACATACAAATGATCAAGAAAGAAAGAAAAACTCTCAAAACTGGTCAGAATACTCTCAAAGTGTTGTTTAAGCATTGCAATTTATAAACATGAGTTACCTTGTTTTTATCAATGACAATTATTCTATTAATAAACATTGTGTTGCAATATATTGACACACTAATATGCCCATTGACAAATCATTATTTCTTGGCAATTCTGCTAGATTTCTCAGCTAAGGATGCTAGCTTTGGTACAAATCTGTCAAAAAAATTTCTTTTGAGCCTGTCCCGAGTCTTTGTATGACTTTTCTACCAATGTTTTGTGGCTGTGCATCCTAGTCGTAGCTGCATTGTTTCAGTAGCTGTGGATTTATTTTACACAAATATCTTCCATTTTTTTAATTGTTTTGAAACATGCAGAAGATTTAAATTAGTGTTGTCAAGAGCTTGACGTGATGATACATATGAGTTATATTAAACATATTTTAAAACAATTTTGTAGGTACTTATACTATGTGTGATGGTGCAGTGTGAATGCCAGCAGCTCTGAAAATCACCAGAATAGGAAGAGTACAATTTTTTAATTTTTTTTATTGTGCAAGAATCTCGTATCTTTGTTTGCTTGGCTTGGCTTATCCATAAATGATATCATGCTCAATTTGGATTTTAGCTCATTAGAGATTGTGAAGATGTCAACAAAGTTGTCATTTCCATATCTACTACTCTATACTTTGCTTTGAGAAATTGTAGAGAAATCAGAAGTGATACAATGTCAGTCTGTTATAATACTCTGCCCATATTCAGTTTGTGCTAAATCCAACACCCTGCCCCATAGCATGAAGTCATTTACGGACAGTGCCTTCAACTGAATCATCTTGTGAATGTTCAGTGTCCCATAATTTTCAGTTAGTGTTTTCTGTGGTATGAGCAGTAGCCCTGACGAAGTAATACAAAGCATTCCATTTCATGCATTCATCTAATCTCAAATAAACTGTTCAGAAAAATTCATTAGAGAAAAGCAGTTATTCTGTTATAGAATATGCATTTAACCTCTGTTGTATTGCATGCAATAACAGTTGCTATTCTATTGAATAGTCAGCTTCTTCCTGGACTGATGAAGAAACCAGCAACAGAGGAGTGTGAGTCCCATCATGACATTTCTTCCTTAAACATTAAAAGGCCTCCCTTTGTAGGCTACGGGTGCCCTCTCCTCCTTCCGTTTCCAGGGTTTACATGTCATCTCACTTGTTACTTCTTCCTGTCTTTGGCCTACATTGAATCTTTCCCTTTGTTCCTCACATTCCCATTCTCACTGCCTCCTTAGGGTATGTGAGCGGGCAAAGTAGGACCTGGACAAAAGTCCTTGAATTTATAATCCCACCATTTTTACAAGGTCTAGAATAGGCAGGATCACTTGTTCATCACATCAGGTGCCAACACTGCATTTGTATCATTACATTATTACATACATAGGTGACCTCCCTGCTGAGGCTGAAGAAGGGAACACAGATGTATGTTGCTGAGAACGTCCACATCCGTGGACTGTCTGTCACATGCCACTAAATGCCTTGTGTCGTTGGCATAGGAGAAAAAAGATTTTGTAATATATAATTGTATATTTGTCGATGTATGCAGAATGACCAGTATGGTATTAGGGGTGATTAAGAGATTTTTGTGTTGATGTCTCCCCTGTCTTCATTAACTTCCTCCACACTACTCTTGCATATGGTACAAGAGCAAGGAATGCAGGACAGTCAAGTTTTGTTCTACTTATTTATTTTAAAGCTGCAACAGGGGAGGATAGTAGTATTTTATGTTAAACATGTGTGTGTACTGCTGTGCAGGATCTCCATGTTCTCCTGTAGCACTAACTTGTTTTGTTTTGTGTACTGTGATAATTTTATTTTTTGTTATACTTTGTGTACAAATCTTATGTTCAATGAATGCAAAAGAGTAAAGTTACTGAATATGTGATTTTAATATAAATTGTTAATGGACAAAATATGGATGTCATAGACCATAGTGATTGTAATTATACTTTTTACAAAAGATCTGGACTTTTTTTACCACACTCCTGTTGGAATAACTTGGAGAACACTTGAATCATACCAGCTGGCACCATTTTTACCAGCTTTCTGAGATACAGCTAAATAATATAACTTTCTTCACATCACTATTCTTATTGATTGCAAGATATTAGCATGTAGATTTCAATTAATAATCCTGGAATTGATCTGTCTTAATTCTGGAGAAATTTGACTGAATTAAAATTCAGTCACACAAGCAAAAGTATGCCCAGGGCAATAATTTGCAAAATAACTATATATTCATATTTGATTTTTTATTACCGCAAGCATCAGTGTTGTATTAGATAATCACCATACAGCTGGTGTGGTGCAAGAAACCTTTCTACTTCAAAGATTTCACTTTTGAGTCTTTACTTTCGTTGCTGTATGTTTGAAAATAGCAATATGTTATTATATTGTGAGCTGGAGTTGTCAGTATTGGATGGATTATGTACAAACATGTTGACAGTCAGTGTGGTGTAAATCCTAGTAAAAATTAAATATATTTCAGAGAATTTACTAAGCAGTTGTTTTAATTGATACTTCATGTCAGTGATCTTATTAAATAAATCTTGAATTTAATTTTTATAATAAGTAACCAAAGAATAACCCAAAAACAAATTTAAATTGTCCCTACCATTTCTTGTTTATTGTTGAAAAGAAGCAACTGGTAATTTCTCTCAATGTGTTTCAAAACATGACTTTTTCAGGATTTTATATTTGAAATAAAATATGCATGGTTATCAGAGTATCATACAGTATCAGTCATTTGTTTTTTTTTAAACGTTTAAACACATTTAAAAAAAATGCTACTTACACATTTCATTCTCTCGTAAAATCTTCTTCAAAAAGTTTATTTTGCTAATTTAATACATATTCTAAAGTTAACAAGTATTATGAGAGTTATGTTTGAAAATTTACTATTCAAGGATTCATGTTAAAAGCAAAACTTTTATAATTGTAATTTAATAACACAAAATCTAATTTAGTGTAATTAGTTGGGTAAGAAACTGTATATTATCTCTGTAATTTTGAAAAGTAATCGCGACTGAAAACAATGCTCAATGTTAAAAGTTCTGAAAAAAGTTCTATACCTACGACATGGAAACAAAGGGTTTTAAAATAGATAACCCCTTGAATGTTCCTGGATGAAACAAAATGTTTGTTAAAGTTGAGCTGGAAAAAGTAGCGTAATATAGAAAATTACTAACACATTTTAAGGAGAGTTATTTTTGAACAAAAGTATAATTTCAGGTTTTTCCATCCTCATTTCTGTTCCTCTCATTTATATTTCACAATTTTGGCATACCGAAATAATTACAGATGTTCGTTATTTCTAATATCAGTGGTGTAACTGGCCCTTCTAGGAACCCTGTTCAAAAACTAAAATGGGGCGCTTGAAAATATTCCCTCCAACTAAAAAAAAAAAGCATGCTGAAAACTAATTGAAAGAAACTTAATTGATCTTAATGAATCACAAAATTCAGAATTGGGCCCTGCAGACTTAAGCTTTGTTTCAACTCGTGTATATCAAAACTTTGAATATGCCCCCCAAAATCTTTAAATGAAGCAATAGTTAATTGGGACCCAGAGTATTAAATTGCAAATTTGGAAAACATCTTTGCATCCTCATAATGAAATATGTAGTTTAAATTTTACAATAGGCCATTCATGGTAATAAATCACTTTCAGAAGGGACCTTTGGAGTTTTGGAGGCCCCAGGTAATTGCACCTGTCGGGCCAGTGGTAGTTGTGCCACTGTCAAATATTAAGCAAGTAATGTATTTCATTTCATGGGCTTTCAGAATGATTACAAGAACTAGTTTTGTTGGCAAGGAATCACACACTTAAAAAATCATGTTCCATTCAAAGTTTATTAATTCTTACATTTAAGTCTTTCGCTAGACACGATTAAAACTAAATTATACATATATTATAATGTTGTACAGAATATAACACCATCTTCCACCCAATGTAAGATCACTTTTTAGGGGGGTGGGGTGCATGACTCCCCGGCAAGCCAACATTTTTTTGTTGTCTTATTCAATTTATAACAATTACCTCTTATTTTAAATTTCTTTGTGATCACCATTGAAACGAGTAGAATGATAGTTCAGTATTAAAAAGGTTTGGTTCTGAAATCAGTACTGGAAATAGTTTCATTGAAATATTTGCTTATTTCAGAAAACTTTCCAAGTGTTTCATTTTTGAATAAACATCTTGAAAATAATTTATTTGGGTTCTTTGATAGTACAAGGTACCATTTTAGAGCACATAATGATTTACAATGTTTAACAAACCACTGACTTATACAATTTTTTGGCTTTTAAATATAAAAAAAGACATTTTTTGTATAATAGAATGACTATTACAAAATAACAAAGTAATTCATTTAGGTTAGTTTCTTCCAATCATATAAAAATTATTACATTGTATTTAAAAATACATTCATTGACTCTTGCAATATAATAGAGTTAATATACAATGTAATACATACAACTATTTATACACAAGTTTGACTAAGCAAAAGCACTGTTCCCATTTAATTATTTCTCTTAATTCAATCGAATCTGCAATATTCGATGTCAGATAATGGTTTTTTATAACTCGCCCAATGAATATAATGCTTTGTTAAGTATTTTTTTAGTTCACTTTAAAATTTGAAGATGTTTAGATTTATGATTTCATTTGGCAATTTGTTGACAAATTGTATTATTGAAAAATAAGGATTTCTGTCAATTTTTTAAAGTCTATTACTCGTGATGTGTTTATTGTTCTTATTTCTGGTACTATAATTATGTATATCTTTATTTACTAGTGTTTCAATTGGACTTCCTTAAAAGAAAGGTTTTATATATGTACAGATCATGTATAATTAGGAAATTCTCTTCTCAGATTATAGTGAAGAAAAATGGCTCGAATTCTTCAGGCACAAAAGTCAACATACTTTGGTTAAAATATTAAATATAAAATAATCCTGATTAGGGTTGCTGTCACAAATTTTGAAGTATTCTTTGTAAATAATTTCCTGGGTTCCCAAATAAGAGAAAGAAATTTGCACTGCAAGAATTTACATAGAAAGCAAAACGGGTTTTTGTCTGAAATTATTTACAAAAACACATGAGAAATGTGTGGCTTTCCATTGATCTGATAAGTCAGATTCTTTAAGAAATAAGTAATGTAATTTTAAAATTTTGAATGCACTATTACATAATTCTCATGCATTTCCCAACTTACTTTAAATTGTTTGAATTTGTTCCCAACATGGAGAAATCGCAAAGTTTCCAGAGCAACAAATGCTTTAGATTATAACAGTTGGAACTGTTCACCAAGTGTGACTAGTAATGCAAAAGAGAGACCTAAAATGGATATGATCAGTTTTGAGACGTTAGTGGTTCTAATATTTGTTATATGATGGTGTGTATTAAAGTTCATGCTTCTAAGAGCCCTACAGAAGAAAATAATTATTCATCATTACAATGAATATTATTTAATTAAACACAAAATAATTTATTGGTACCTATTTGTACATTTATTGGTACCCATTTCATCACAAAAGATCAACTTAATAATATTGCTGTAAAATATTTGTATGTTGCATATTTTAACTAAGAAATTATTTGATTTATTTAACATGAAATACTGTAGCATTTTTTAAAAAGGTAGTGCATTTTGTATATTATACAAATTTTTCATAAAATTTGCTCTAAACCTCACTCAAAATAAAATATAAGAAAATCTTTGCTACTGGCTATAAATATTAGCAAGTTGAAGAAACCAACTATGGTCGTTTCATAAAGTGGTATAATAAATTATGTTCCTATGAATCTTGTGTCACCTTCCAATAGAAAAATTGATGTTTATTGTATATAAAATTATTGGCCCCATTTTCTGTAATTTACATATTCAAAATTTAAATAATTTTTGGAGAAAAGGGGATTGTGTGGAAAGAGGTATTCATAGCAATGCATTTTCAGTTTAAGTGTTACTTATTTCATTTTATTTTTCAATGGACAAAGCCAACAGAATACACTCAATTATAAACTTTGAATTATTAAATTAATTAAGTTTAAGTAATAGTGATCTTATAAATACGGAATATATGGGATTCTAACTTTGTTTTCAGTAATAGTGGCTTTAAAATATTTCTTTGTTGGGTTACAAGAAGTCGTTATCGATCCAGCCAATTATATACAATGAACTCTATTGTTCTGAAGACTTTAGATATTTTCTCAATATCTTTGACACACTTTTCTGTTCAAAACAAATTCAAAATCATTCATCAGCATGCATCTAAATACTTCATATAAGTTTTAATTTTTTCTGTCTAATCTGACACACAAACAGCACATATTAGTCTTTTAGAATTTTTTGATTGTAATTCTAGAAAGAATGAACTTCTTTTTGATTATTTGTTTTTATCTCTCTGAATCTGACAGATTGTTCTGCAATAGGTTTTGTAAAATGACAGTGCGTGTGATCATGAACTGGACCATTTTTTTTCTTCTATTAGTGCTATAGTTCCCAGGCTTCATTTTTTGATCATGTCACTGTTTTTTCTCTTTCATCCAATCGTACGTAAACCCACAAACTGAAAATATTGCTAAATCTGCAAAAGAACCCATTCTCATAACTAATTTTATATTGATGAAAGTTAGTTTATATTAATTATTGCAAAAGAAATGATATGGTGAATTAAATCAAGTTTTTTGATTGGAAAGTCATAAAATTATTGAAGTACACATTAGTGATCATCACCCATTAAGATTGAGTGTGCAAATGCATCATTCTGTAATAGTTTTAATATTTCTGTATCTCACATATTCAAACATTTATTATGTAAATGTAAGGTTGAAAAATAAATTATGACTAAGAAAAAGATTATGAAAATACCATAACTAACCACTTTTTTTAAATAAACATAATTATGTTGAAAATGCTCCAAACATTTACAAAGAGGTCTTGTAAAATATTTCCTATTATCTGGGGGATGTGCAACCGTGCACCCTAAGCACAAGCTGTCACTGAGATCATCACCCAATTCCAGGAAGCGCAACTGGTAAATCATACATTAAGAATTGTACGTCTGAGAAGGCTGTGAAAGCTTCTGGGGTCTATGTTTTCGTACCCATTGACAATTCAAATTTGGGGAGGAAGGCTTCCTTCCTTCACAGGTTACCTATTTCTCACCCACTTCTCAGACCCCATTTCTCCTGATACACTGGCAGGTAAGTTGGAATTAAAAGGAGAAGATCAAGAAGTACATCAGTCAGGTGATCATACCATTTATCACTCATCGGAGCTATCGTCAACGGTACTCATCAATGTCACAACCCCCTCCCTCCCCCAAGGAACGCGATTCCCCATATTGTGAAACTTCGGAGAATCGCGGAAAACATTATTTTGCATCAGACATTATGTCCATCCTAAACAGCATTGATTAGAAAACGAACGTTGCGAGGAATGAAGTCGACCGTACTGACATCGTCAAATCACAACGCACTTGGAATGAAAAAAATAGTCCAGAAATGCCAATAAGAAATCGCTTTGTAGCTCCACAAATAAGTGAGGAAAGGGAATGAATAATAAACCAGTTGCCACTGA